AATAGGGCCAAACACTTAGCTCAGAACTCCAGCTGCCACTCCCGGTAGCTGACCTTGCCTGAGCTCTCTGGCAAATGGGTCAAGTGGGGTACAGATGTGCTTGGAATCGAGGGACCATGGGCCTCCCTCTGGGCCTAGGAACTCAGTGGTTGAGGGACCAGAGCATCCTGAATTATAGGCCTTGCCTCCCAGCAATTAGCAGAGCAAAGGAAAGATGCTTCTCAGAACCCAATTACTAAGCCAATCCAGGGCTTGCTTTCTCAGTGAGGACTATGAGGACAAAGGATTAACCTTAGAACTGAGGGCCACATGGGGTTAGGGAGCCCATACCTTCTGTCTTTTTCACTTTGAAGTCAATTTTTATGTAGCATGTTCTAAAGCAACCTGGATTTTAACAGTCTTCAAAAGAATAACTTGTCTTCTCTGTCATGTCCAAAGTCAATAGAAAAAGTGAAGTCGTTACAAACTGAAGGAACTTAGTCACTCTGAGAATGGTTGGTGAATTTCATGCTGAAGGTCTTTCTAAATTCAGTCTCTCATCCCAAAATTAAATTCTTATCAACAAGTCATCAGCGAAAAGTTCTTGAACACCAACAAGTCCTTCCTGTAAAGAGTTTTCAGTACAAGTAAGTTTCATGTTTAAACTTTTAGAAATTTTAAGAGTTTAAGTAAAAGCAAACAACTTTATAGGACATAAAATAGTAAGAGCCGCACATGTGTAAAAGCTATAAGTATGTGATCAAAACATTGACCAGCTCAATAGCTTCTCACATGATAAAAGCAGTACCTTGGTGCCTACACCCATATCTGTTACCCCCCCCAGTGGCCCCCATGAGTCCCCAGCAGTAACATGATGCTCTCACACAAGTCTGTCAGCCACAGATGCTCAGCGCCGTGTTCCCCGTTTGCCTTTTCCTCTAGGCCTGTCCCCCCTCACTGCGCCCACTGCCACCAAAGCTATTTAGAGAAGGCTCCCCATCTTCAAGACAGAAGCATACTTGCCAGGGATGGGGTCTTGGGATGCTCCTATAGCCTTCAGCCTTGAATGGCAAGAGGGGTGTTATTTCCTTTCAGAGACGGTGAGAATGTTCTCCTCCCCAACTTTAAGTTTTCACCAGGGTCTTCAATCAGCTTGTTTGGCTGCCCAGATCTATTATTCCCACCTAGGGGCTCTCATCTCTGGCATCCAGCTCTTATTAGGTTTCTTAATTCTGTCCAGCAAGCTAGACACAGAGTCGTTCTCCTTCATCTTCTCTCTCTTCCCAGCCTCCCTCAACTACAAATTCTTTTCTCCATATTGTTATAAGAAAAAAAAAAAATAAAGCCCTTTTCTATCAATGACTGGAAATAGAAAAGAGAGAAAGTGTGCGTGTGTGTGTGTGTGTGTGTGTGCATGCACACACCTACCTGAGCAGTATTCTCACTGGGCTTTTTTTTTTTTTAAGATTTTTATTTATTTATTTGAGAGAGAGAGTGAGCATGAGCGAGGGGGAGGGAGGAAGAGGGAGAAGCAGACTGCCCGCTGAAGGGTGCCCAATTCAGGGCTCGATCCCAGGACCCCGGGATCGTGACCTGAGCAAAGGCAGATGCTTAACCGACTGAGCCACCCAGGCGCCCCTTCTCACTGGGCTTTTAAAAGCTCAAATGAGTCAGAGGGAATTATCAGGGAAGGTTTCATGGGGTGACGAAGATCTCATTTACCTTAGAAAATGGGAAGCATCAGACGTGCGTGCAGGTGGAAAGGACAAAGAAAGGGTGCCCACAACAGAGGGGCTGACAAAGCGTATGTGAGCAGGGCCTGCTGAGGGGAACAGTGGGGACAGTTAGCTTCAGGCAGGAATTGTGGCAGTTGGGGGGTCGTGACACCTAAGCGGGGCTGCTGGGGCAAAACTGAGTTGTGGGAACACAAGGAGATGAGAGTAGATTTGCTGTGGCCAACATCGAGAGAGCTCTCGAGGCCGTTGAGCCGGGGTCGTGGCAGGATGTGTTTACAACTTTCGAGGGAGCTCCACCTGACCAGGGGATGTGCACGGTGGGCTGCATGAGGGCAGAGTGTGCAAGCGTGTTGTCAGAGAGGGAAGAGTCTGACAGAGAAGGCAAGGAAGCATCCGTGCCTGGACCACAGGACGAAGACTAGTTGGCAGGAGGAACCAGCGACGTTCCGGAGGAAATCAGGGATCTCTCCTCCTTGATGTTGCCACCTGGCTGAAGTTTCCTTTGATTGTGAACTACATTCCAAAATGAGTCCAAACAGGTTTTGTGCCCTCTACCACCCCTACCCTTTGTCCTGTAAGCTCTTCATTCTCGTTTCCCCAAGAAGCCTCTCCATGGTCTGCCACCAGCACCCCTGCTTTGTCTCATCTGTTTTCTGTTGCTGCGAACCTTGGTTTTGCCACCTGTTTGGTCCCCTTGGACTTGAAAGCCTGCCTTCTCTTGTTTCCTGGCCCACTCTCTTTGGGGATAATGAGGGGAGGGATCTTTCCTGCTTCCCCGGAGCATCACTATCCCCAGTCCTGCCTCTTTCCTTCCATTATTCCACCGTCTTTTCTCCTAACCTAGAGGAAGGGAGATAAGAAATTCTTTAATTGGAAACTCCAAGATTGGTGCATGATTGACCAAGCATAAAGCCCCTCTCCATAGTAGAAGATGATACCTGATTCCTTACATGTATATCGTCTCTTTTTGTAGCCCAACTGGTGAGTGTTCCCCTTTATCACCAAAAGCGCACTTAGAGGTCCTAGGGGGTAATGCATCTCTGCTCCTAGTGTAGAACCGCCAGAATTTCAGGGACTCAAGCTCAACTCTCTGGACGGTTACAATGTCTCGTTTTTCAACTTGGAATTGTAACACCGAGGGCCTGGATGGCAACTCAAAACTGGTTTGGGATAAGGAGCCAGGTCTGCTCCCTAACTGACATGGAGAATGGGTCTAATAACCAAAAGACAGTGGTTCCAGGAAGCCCAGCTTTCCTCTGAGCATGAACAAGGTGGAAAGCGGAAGGATGGTGGAAAGTGAAGGTGGAAAGTGAAGAAGGATCCCAGCATATTTTAGGTCGGGATCAAGGGATACCCACTTGGTTGGGGCATGTGAGCCTTTCAATATTGTGCAGGCAGCTCAGCTTGGAAACTGCCATCTCTGGCCATATCTATACGATCCAAAGCCTTCTGGTGCAAGAGCAGACTTCCTGGAGTAGGTTCCAGTAATTCTTCCCTGATCTCAGCCAGAAGCAGCCACAGAAAAGCCTTTTTCTTTGAAATCTGGCTGTCCTCCTGCCGGGGTTGTGAATGGCCCTGGGAGAAACAGTGATGGTTAGCTGGTGGAGCAAATTGTAATTTTACAGGTATTGGGAGGGCTTAAGTAAAGGTGATGTATTCAGGCCACCATAACAAAGTACCACAGACTGGGTGGCTTAAGCAACAGAAATTTATTTTCTCACCGTTCTGGAGGCTGGAAGTCCAAGGTCAGGGTGCTGGCGGCCTCCTCTCCTTGGCTGCAGATGGCTTGCCGCCTCTCCACATGGTGGACTCTATGTGTCCAGATATCCTCTTCTTATAAGGACACCAGTCAGATTGGATTAGGGCCCACCCGAAGAGCGTCACGTCAACTGAATCACCTCTTTAGAGGCCCTTTCTCCAAATACATCAGATTCTGAGGAATTGGAATTAGGGCTTTAACATGTGAATTTAAGGGAACAATTCAGCCCCTAACAAGTAGCCTAAGAAAACCTGTCCTCGAGCACTAGGAATCATCATAGCTGACATTTATCAGGCGGCACTAAGTGCCAGAGACTGTTCTAAGCATTTTTCGTATAGTATTCCATCTCATCTTCACAATGATAGATTGTATAATTATAGATTATGTAGATTATAAATTGATTCTGGGTTATAGAGTGCTCCCTTCTTTTCTGAAAAGCAGACAACTTACTTTGGTGTGATTATGTGATATAGGGAACATCACACCCCAGTCTGTGACCCGGGGCTTCTGTGATTTGATGGGGGTTGAAATAGCGGGAGCATCTTATTACGGTGCTTTGGCGGGGAGGAGATCTCTGACAAGTGCAAGGCTTTCTTTCTTCCATCCATATCTCTCCACAAGCCAGACTTGCACCAGGGGATGGGACAGTATGAGTGGGCAGACTGAGGGTCTTACATAGGGACTCCCTCATCCGCAGAGCTGACATTCTGCCCTTGTTCCTAGGCAAGCTGAATCATCAGAATTTAGACAGGAAGCTCTCATCTTCAGGAGTCAGGCAAGAAAGCATGACAGGGCACGGTCCCCAGGAGGCGGGCAGCCTCCCAACTGAGTCATGGCTGTGTAAGATGCACCAGCACATCCTGGAGAACCCATATGAAAACTGCTGGGCATTTCTTCGAGCTAGACACCTGTACCAAGATTTTTCTCATTTAGCCCACCTATCAGCTCTGAAAAAGCTATTCTTATACCTGTTTACAGATAAGGAAACTGAAATTAGAGGCAACCACAGCTCTGGGCCCCACCCTTCCCTTGTGTGACCTTGAGCTGGATGCTTAACCTCTCTGGGTGGGTCTCACTGGCCTCACCTATAAAATAAATGCTCACTTTCATATCCCCTTCCAGCCTGCCAGCTCCGCACAGCTAGTCAGGGGCGTTTCTGCTGAGGCCTCAAAGAGCCCAGTGCTCAAGCTCCATCAGAACACTGCACATGCGCCCTGGGTAACCACTCCTCACGGCCTCCCCTGTTCCCCATGCTCCTCTCTACAGACCCAACAAAGAACGTGCTCCGTCGGCTCCCCCATCCCCACCCGACTGTCCCAAATCCCTCCTCACCCAGGGTAACCTGCAAAAAACCCATTGAGTTTGCATAAGGGTAAACTTGCCCCCCAGAGTGTGAGTCGATCAGCAATCTGGACCGCCCCCTGGGGTAGCCCTGGGCCACCCTGCCAGCTCAGAAGGAGAGTAGGTGAAGAGTGACACGGGATGAACTGACACTGGGCTTTCGGTCTCCTTCTCTGACCCTCCAGGAGGCTCTGTCAGTGGTGAGCGACGACCAGTCCCTCTTCGACTCTGCCTACGGAGCGGCGGCCCATCTCCCCAAGGCCGACATGACCGCCTCAGGGAGCCCTGACTATGGCCAGCCCCACAAAATCAACCCCCTCCCACCGCAGCAAGAGTGGATTAATCAGCCGGTGAGGGTCAATGTCAAGCGGGAGTATGACCACATGAATGGATCCAGGTAAGCCCTCCAGGCCTGCGCTGCTCCAGGGGTAGGCACAGCAGCTGCCAGGTGCGGGGCTGGTGGAGGCTTGAGGCACGCTCCCCAGGGGTCTGAGTTGAGCAGATCTGACCTAAGCAGCTTCTGGCGCTCAGGGTGCCTGCAGCAGGTGGGGCTCTGGTGCTGGGCCGGGGAGCCTGAGTCAGTCCCTAGAGAGGTGAGACAAAAGCGGGTGATACGACGGAGGGCTGGGGGTGGAGCCAGGGCCAGGAAGCCCACCTAGCCCTCTGAGCCTTGGTACAGCCTCAAAGGCCAGGTCAGAGTCAGGCTCATGACCCAATGCGACACTCTTTTGTGTGAGGCCCAGGTAGAGTCCCTCTTGCGGATAACTTAGTGAGAACATACCATCCTTTGTCCTGTCGAAGATATCTGACCTCTCTGGCTGGGTGTCAGAGATGACCAAAACATTCTTGCAGTAAAAGTCCAGAAGTGATGATAAAGGTGAGTGCATCTGGCGCTCACTGTGCCAGGGAGAACACATCACACTTGGGAGGTGTATTAGAACTTGGTGGTGCCCAGGGCAGGAAGACTTTCCTTGTGGAAATGCAGGGAGGAGAGCCCAAGGAGAGAAGATTCACAGGAGCAAGGAAGGGCACACCTGGGGGACGGGTAGCCCAGGTTTCATTCCCAGCTCTGCCCTTGGACGAGCTATCTAGCTGTCTGAGCACCAGCTTCCTCCTTTCGGAACCGGGGCGGCAGGACGTGCTTCTTCATAGGCTTGTGTTGATGGTTAACCGTAATGCCGTGGAGGAAGGACCCAGGACAGTGCCTAGGACTCAGAAGGTGCTCGATAGTGATAACGATCATCCTGAGCAAAGGTTTAAAAGAGAGAAAACGTTAGTCTCATTCATGAACTATCAGGCCAGCCAATGGGCCTTACAGCACAAGGAGAAAAAAATGAAAATTAAGAGAGGGCCCTGAATGGCACACTAAGAAAATGCAGAATTTATTCCATATGCAGATACCGACTTTGTAGACTTGACATGTAACATCTTCAGAGCTTGATTTCCAGAGCTGGCAATCATATACAGAGGGTGGGGAAGGAAGGGAGCGTCAGAAAGATAAGAAGTTAGTGAAATATCCCAGTAAGATATGATCCCGTTCTGAATTTGAGTGATGGTAATGATTAGGGAAATCAAAAGGGATAGCCACAGGAAGGACAAATCAAAGGGATAATTAGCGGGGCTGAGGTGGACACATATTGAAGCCTATTTGGGGGGACAGAGGGTATATGAGAGGAAAGAATTAAAAAACGGCTGGAGTTTCCCTGTTTTTAGTAAGGACGGTGCCGTTAGGCATGGGAGGTAGGAAAGGAAATGCTTTGAGAATAGATGTCAATGTTCCCTCTGAGATTCCTGTGAGCAATCAGTAGAACATCCAGATAAAAATGTCTGCTAGGCGTTGGAAACTAAGGCTGAGGTAATATTTGGGGGCTGGAACACAGGTTTGGGCATCATCTCTAAAGAATTGTCACTAAGAGGGGATGAGGTCACTCAGGAAACAAGGCTAGAGAAGGAGAGAGAAGGGGGTGAGCGTGCAGCTGGGAAGGAGACCTCCCCCAGACAACCGCCGGTCTCAGACCTGCCTGTGGGAACACCCAGCCCTACACTTTTCAATCCCACTAACAAGAACCAGCCACTGGGATCCCAACCCCCGTCCCAGAGTCTAGCATTTTAGGAAGGCTCAGAGTTCTAAACCAGGAGCCCCTCACAAGAGCATCTCTCCACATAGATAATAAGGATAATGAGCTCCTCACTGTGTCGGGGGCGGGGGGCGGTAATAGTTTGTTAAACACTTTTTCCATATTATCTTATCATTTGTTCCCCACCATGAGGCTAGGAGATAAATGTTGCAATTACATTTTGACATTTAAAGGCAGATTGGGCTTTGGGGGGGGGGCAGGGGGGTGCTTGATGCCTTGTCCAAGGATTTAGAGGAGGCAAAACTGGCACCAGAGCCAGGCCTTCTGATTCCTGGCCTGTGGGCCTCCTTTCTGTCCCCTCCCTCTCTGCCTGTACATTGTGCTCTGGGGTTCGTGGTCCAGTTCCTGACAACCCCCAACCCGGCAGTGCCTCCCAAACTGGCCCAACCACTGGACGGACCTTCCTGATGCTTATTGAAAATCCAGATTCCACGCTTGGAACGTCTTTGGTCTGTTGTAGCCTGAATCCCAACCACTCTTGCAACCTCACCCTAACCCAGACCAGCAGCATCTGTCCTGCTAGGCCACCACCGCGGCACCCTGTTCGCCCCACTTCTGCTTGCCTTCCTGAAGTCTGTTCTTCAGACAGTGGCTCGAGTCAACCTTTCAGAATATTTAACTCTCTTGTGACAAAACCCACAGTCTTCCACACGCCCCATCCCCCTCATCCATATGAAACCCTTTTTATCCCTCCTATCTTACTCTTTCCTTCTGCATCAGCCACCCAAGACTCCGGATCCCAAGCACACTCCTGCCTCAGAGTCTCGGGCCTGTGTTCCTTCTTTCTGGAACATTCCTACTCCATCGAGTCATATGACTATCTCTCCTACTTGTTTCAGCTCTCTGCCTGAATATCACCTTCTCAGAGGCCTTCCCTGACCACCTGATCTGAAACAGCACCCAGCGCTCTTTACCTTGCTTAGATTCTTCTTAGTTCTTCCTGGCTCTTATCACAGCCTTCACTAAAATGCGGGCAGGGCCTTATTCTGTCTACCGAGCGATGCCTGGTGCGTGATAGGTGCTCAGTAGATAGTTGTGAAATTAACAAGTGAGGGGATGCATGGCTAAGCAGACTCAAAGGTGAAGCTGCTTATTCAAAACCATATAGGTCATCAGTGTATAAGCCAGGACAGCCAAGGTCTGCGGACATTGCCTCAGCTGCAGCCTGCGTTTGTGCTCAGGGGAGGCTGCATTTATGAGCTGACTGCTGTCTCCCCTGCAACATACTAATCCTGGCCAAAGAGGGTTCCCCAGGGAAGTCAATTTTCAGAACCCACTTGCCAGCCATCCCTGGCTGCCATCACACCAGAGGCCAGCTGGAGGAGAGCTGTGTGATCACCCCCAAAGAGCAGACGTGGTATTTATGGGGTTCTGGTAGCACAGAGCAGTCCCTGCTTTTGATTGGCCAGTCCTGCCCCAGACCATCCGCAGGTGACAGAGTAGGCGCAGAAGGACTGATGTAGTCTCACCCGCCCCGGGGAAACAAAAAAGGTCCAGTGGACTCTCAGAGCCATTGCCAGCACCCCATAAATATTCTCCAAGAGCTCACATGGAATCTGGCCTGGTGGGCAGCAGGGAACAAGGGTTTTCAGAAAAATGTCTTTGCTGAGGGTAGAACTATGTCAGATTCTATTATTTGATCACACAAAAACAAAGGACACAATGAAAAAGATGCCAGGCAATTTAAATCTCTCATCATCGACACTGTGTTTCCCTGACCCCCTGAGTATTATTGAAATGACCCCTTTAATACCCAAGAATTCCTAACTTCAGATGAGAAAACCAAAGCAGATCTATCCCATTTGGGGTCTTTCGGCTCATGGACTAGATTTGTGGCATCCAATGCAGGAGCCACCAGACACACATTACATTTGAGCACCTGAAATCCAAAACCGACATGTGCTCGAAATGCAAAATATGCACCAGACTTCTAAGAGTATGGGGAAGAAAAGTAAAATAGCTCCTTAATTATTTTTATATTGATTATGTTGAAATGATCATTTCTTTTGGCTGAATGATCATTTCTTTTGGCTGTAGTGAGTTAATATATTAATATATTTTAAAGTTCATTTCACCTGGTTTTTTCATTTTAAAAATGTGGCTACTAGAAAGTTCAAAATTATCTATGTGGCTCACATTGTACCACCAGAGAGCGCTGGACCAGAATGCTCTGGACCATCCCCCTTGGGTTTCCGAGTTACTTCATGCTTACTGGAGACCCTGTAGATATTGTGTCTCTGGAGGAGGTATTCTCTGTGCCTAAAGCTACAATGCCCCTCTTGCTTTTTATCCCACTATTAAGTCATTTGGACCAGGGGCATGGGGTCACGTGGAGAGACTGAGGTCTGGGGAGCTCAGGGAAAGCCTAGCTGGCCCATGTTGTGGGAGGTTTGCTCTTTCTCCGTATCTTCCTGTCTTGGTTGAATCTGTTAGGATGAGTTGTTCTTGGAACAGCAAGGCCTGTAGGTTCTGTGATGTATGTAGACCAGCAACTTGACCCCGGGCTGTGGTCTGCAAATAACTCTCAGCTGCATCCTGCCTCAACCTCGGGGATCGGGGGAGAAACATCCCATGAGGGAAAGAGTATTATTTTATGGAGGGGAGGGGAATGCAAGGACCTGCTTGCCTTGTGTTCCCGGCATGCAGGACCTGAGTCGGCGTTAGTCTACCCCGACACCCCCTAGCACTGGCCAGTGGGCTCTGGATGCTCTTAGGACACACGTGGAGACTTCACATTCCATCTACAGGAAGATCAACCTTCGCACACGCTGTAACTTCTGCCTCTAAGACTGCTGAGCAGCTTTCTCAGGTGCTTCCTTTGGTTCTGAACCTTGCAGTACGGAGCATGTCACACAAGCTGGGCGGGAAGCTGTCCTCAGGCTTCTGGAGAAGTTGTGAGCACCTACTATGTACGGAGGTGAAAACAGCTATGGGGTTAGGGCGAAGGGCTAGATTATGGGTGCTTTTCTTTCCTTTCCTTGAAATTTGCTTCTCACTTATTGAGTATTCCTTTTTAAAAACAACAAGGCACACATCTAGGCATGGCTCCTACAGAAATCCTAAAGACAACACAGATCGCACAATGGTGCATAGTGTGCACACCGCATAGAAGACACACATGATAGGTCCTAAGGCGACTGTGTGGCTTGGGTGGCCTCTGGGACCTCGCATGAGCTATGTGAATACAGAGAATCCACTGACCACAAGCCTGGGCTGCACACTTGTGGCTCGGGGTGGTGCCGTCTGAGTTGCTCGGGGCTGAGCGGGAAGGTAGAGAAGACGTCTGTTACAGGCTAAAGGGGTCATCTTTGGGAGGAGTCTTTGAGATCTTCTCTCACCCAAATACCCAAGCATTCTCACCTTGCTTTAAATTGCTTAACACATTGCAAGGCACCCTTGCAAATCACTGGCAGGATTTTTAAAGCAGCGTTCACTGAACATACGAAAATAGAAGGGGAAGAATAAAGAGCTCCTGTCCCATGGGGAAACTAAAGGAGACGGTTGCAGGGTCCACGTCACCTTTGCTGGGGCCTCCTGCCGTGGCTTATGGAGATGCTCTGAGCTCCACGCTTGGAGCGGGCACGGCCTCCCTGCTCTATTGTGGCCGCCCCAGGCCCTCTTGTCTCCTGTCCCAGGGCTCTCAGCTGCCTGTGGGCCCCAACCTCATGCTAGCTGTAAGTGCAGGTCTCAATACAAATTAGCAGGAGCGCGGGCAAGCTGAATGGCAGAACCTCTTCCCCTCCGTGTTCCCCCTTGCCCCCCCCTCTTGTTTTCATTGGGCCTCTTCACAGGGCCAGCTGTCTCATTAAAGAGCAGCCTTTAGTCTGTGCTTCACCTGTGCCCACCCTTAGCATAGCTGTCAAGCCCCAGCGCCGCACGCGAGGCGTTTGCTGTCTGCTGGAGGCACAGCGCCCAAGAGCTTGCCAAGAGGGGAGGGCGGCAGGCCGGCGGTAAAGGTACGGCTTTCCTTCCTTTTCTCCCTGCGCAGTCAGGGCAGGGCTGGCCTGGGCAAGTGTGGTGGTCCAGGGTGGTGCCACGCTTCTCTGAGGGCACCCCTGGCGGCGGGGACTGGGAGCGAGAACAGGGCCTTATTCCAGAGGAGGAGCACCCAAGAGTGGGCGTCCAGACGCATCACCTTGCACAGCTGGGGAGTAGGAGCCTACAGAGGTGCCGGAGGAAGGAGACAGGAGGAAGCAGAAAGATGAGAACTTCTGTGGGATAGGAAATGAGGAGGTTTCCACTCCCGTACAGCCCCCAGGGGTCACCCCAGCAAAAGAACCCTGGTCCCGACGGTGGTTTTGATGTCCTCCTCCGGGAGCCCGCCGATCCTGTGACCTGGGCGCCCACCTCCCCGGCAGGTGCCCATCCCACCTTGGTGCTCCTGGCTCCTCTTCTTACCCCGTCCCAGACCAGGTGGCTCTTACCAAATGTTTCCTCTTTTCAAACTTATTTCTCTCTCTTCCTGGCACCAAGGCCTGGCCCCGCCATACGTGCCTATGGCATAAAGGGTCGCCCCACTTCGGCAATTTCTGAGGCTCTGACTTTTCACCTCTGCACGGCGACAGGTCAGTCTTCGGCTTAGCAACCGCCAGAGGCCCAGCTGACACTGGAAATCATTTTCCAAACCTCGACTCCTTGATGTTCCTCACGGGAAGCGCAGGCTGCTGAGCAGCACCCCCTCTCCCGTCACGCCCGCCATCCCTCCCCCACGTTGGACCTTGCTCTCCTCTCTGAGAGTTTTCTCGCCCCTGCCCATGGCCCTTGCACTCCGGCATCCGCCAAAGGAAGTGTGTGCTTGGGCCACCCCACCCTCGGCCGCGGGGGTTCCCAGCCAATGAAAGCGCTGCTCCCTTGGTGGAAGGCCAACTTAATCCTCAGCCTCCTGCTGCCCTTGGGCTGTTTCACAATGGACAAGGATGTTGGGAAAGGCTGCCAGGCCGTGGCGGGTGTGTGTGTGTGTGTGTGTGTGTGTGTGTGTATGTGTGAATGTGTGAAGGCTGCCAGGCCGTGGCGGGGTGTGTGTGTGTGTGTGTCGGGTGTGTGTGTGCGTCTCGGGTGTATGTGCGTGTGTGTGTGCGCGCGCGCGCGTGCACACGTATGCCGGGGGTGTGCCCGTGTCTGCGTGGGCGTGCACGCATGGGTGCGTGGGCGCGCTGTGGGCGTGTGGGCGAGTGTGCGCAGGCGCGCGCCCGCGGTTAGCCAAAAGGAGGGCGGTGGAGGGGGGACGCGGCGCGCGGGGGCGCGGGCTCAGCTCGGACATCCCCCCCAGGGTCTTGCTGGGTCCGCTTCACGGCCGGCCAAGGCCTTCAGCAGCAGAAGCCAGAGGGCCAAACTGGTGAAAAGCCCTGATGTGCTACTGCCTCCCCTCAGACTGCCATGGGGACATTAAACCTTCAACAATCTGGGGCTCTGACGGCTGGTTCTTGGTTCTCTGCCTGGAAAAACAGTAGGCGAATAGTAAAACCTTAAATTCTAACATGTGTAAGTTATACATCTTATTTTCATTTTCAGCCCATGTTCCCCTCTGTAAGACATCAGGAAAAAATTACCGTCTGACTTCTAATATCTCAGTGGACCATTTATCTCCCAGCTATGATAAGTGATCTTCAATATTTTTTTTCCTTTCAGATTAAGAAACAAATTCATTTAATTGTCTTTATTGAATGTGCTCTGGCCCCCCTGCCCTGCCTGAGCGCCCGCCCCCCCGGGTGCTGTTCCTCCTTTCCTCTGCGATCAGGACTGCCCTCCCTGCCTCTGGAGTGCGGCCACCAGCCACGGGATGGGCGAGGCCCTCCTGGCACAACCTGGCTCCTTAAGTCCTCAGGATGGTTGGTCCCTGCCCAGGGCAGAGTAAGGAGGGCAGCGGCCAGGGCTTTGGAAAGCCTGGAGTCTTTCTGCGGCCCAAGGTTGGGCCGCTGTAATCTGAACCTTATCTGAACTCCTTGGTCTGAAAGGCCTGGTTTGGAGCTCTTGAGAGAACTGGCTGTGTCCCAGGTCTGATGCTTCCTGCACTGTGTGACCGCGGCAGCAGCCTCTCCGGGGCCTTCCAGTCGTCCCCAGCTGCAGTGGCTGAATGGAAAGGTGGGATGGCACTTCCCCTGGGCACGCTGGAGGGGGGCGGAGACCATGATACCAGGCTTGGCGGGGGGCGGTGTGGAGCATTCTGCCAGCCTACCCCCGGGCTCTGGGGGGCTCTGGGGGGCCACAAGTGGGGTGTCAGCTTAGATCTCCAGACAGCTGCTCAGGGCTGGGCTGATGCCAGGGAACAGCCTCCAACTGGGCTACGGACATCAAGGCTGGGTTGGATGATTTTTCCCTTCTGCAGTTCCTTATGGTTCTTCTGTGAGCATGGTGGCCAGAGCTGCAGCCTGCCACCAGGGCCACAACCTATCAGGTTGAAGTTCTTGAATTCTATTCCTTCGTGCAGCAACCAGCTCGTTTGTGGGCGTGCGTGCATGTGTATGTGTGTGTTTTAAAGTAAACTCTCTGCCCAATGTGGGGCTCGAACTCAGGACCCCAAGATCGAGAGTCATATGCTTTACCATCTGAGCCAGCCAGGCATGCCTGCATGTGTGTTTTGATAGGAAAGCTTAACACCAAAGACCTGAGTTCTGTGTCCACTTTTACTAGCTCTGTGACCCTGGGCCAGTCACCTCACCTCTCAATTTCCTTAACCATAAAGTGGAGATATGAACCCTTGCCATGGCTACCTTGGAGGGGTATTGGGAAATTCAGATAGAACAGTGTACGAGAAATGCATTAAAATCATATACATGCAATAGATAGAGTCCACTCAGAAAACATCGATCACTCATCTCCTCTGGAAGGCTCTACCTAACACCCTGAGGTTTAAAGGAGAAAGGAATGTCAACCTCTCAGAAATTCCCAATCCAGCCAGGGGAAGAGCTCCCGCCACGCTAATGATCCCACGGTGTGACCAGTGCTAGAACCAAGGCAGACAGAGCACCATGTGGGGTGCGGAGGCCTACCTGGGGGCCACCTGGGGGCCACCTGGGGGCCGGGTGGGGGCACATGCGGCCAGAGTGCAGGTTGCCTGGCGACAAGGTTAAAAATGTCAGCCGCAGTCAGATTGGGAGGGTTGCAGCACCGTCCTAAGAAGTCCAGACTGTAGTCCGAGGCCAGTGAGGATCTGCCAAAAGCTTTTGAGTACCGTAATTATAGGACTGGGCTGGGATTCGAAGAAGACTCTGGTGGCGGCGTGGAGGAGAGAAGTAAGGCAGCAGCAACAGCATTACACCAGGTGGGGCTGGGACACGGCGCCACGGTTGTCTGCCCACGCTGGGCTGATGGAAGCTGCAGTGATGACTTCCTCTGGGCTTTGTGTCCTCTCACTCCAGGGAGTCTCCGGTGGACTGCAGTGTTAGCAAATGCAGCAAGCTAGTTGGTGGAAACGAGCCCAACGCCATGAACTACAACAGCTACATGGACGAGAAGAACGGCCCCCCTCCTCCGAACATGACCACCAACGAGAGGAGAGTCATCGTCCCCGCAGGTACTTTGGGAACCAGGCTGCCGGCTGGCATCCGTGTCCTCCCTTTTCTGCGCTAGGAGTTGGAGGGCAGGCTTGTCCAGTGGACATCTAGACCTTTACCTGGTACCCTCTTCCCTGTGGAAATGCCTACTTAGGAAAGCTGCATTTCTCACTTCCTTCCAACTGTCCTTCAAGATAGCATCCCCCGGGTCACCAGGACTCTCAAACAGGTCACAGCACAGACTCTCCCCCGGGGGGCCTGGTCCCCCAGGATGAGGCCTGCAAAAGGGGACAGAGGCAAGGCCGTCTGAATCCCAAAGGAGTCCCAGGAACTCCCGACGGGCCCGCCCTCGCCTTGAAGGAGAAGGGTGGCTCCAGAGGTCTGTCATGTCCATCAGGCATGTACTTCCTGGCATCCGCAGGGTCCCACCTTTCCAAAATTACAACCAGTTTTTTCAGTTTCAAAATAGAAATAACTATATTTAACAAATGGAGCGCCTTAACGTGTGCAGCAAGTTAGGTCATTATGTAAAAATAGCCTATTTTTCCTAGGTATTGGTGCTGTTGGTTACAGAAAATAAAATCCTTGTTCAAGCCTTCAGTCCCCTGGCTGGACACTCCACCTCGGCTAGAGCAGCAAGCTCAGCAGCCTGGTCAGAAAGGGGGTTTGAAAACTACAACATGTAGAGTTGGTGCCAGGTGGAAGGAGCAAGAACGTCCAAATCTTAAGCAAAGTGAATTACAGGGCAGGGATTACAACTAATCTTACCAAAATAACATGACCAAAAAGGCAAAACCCCTTCCATTTGGAAAAGTGTAGATGCAGTTGTGTCTGAGGGCAAAGGATTAGCTATCTCTTTGAGGTAATGCAAAGGAATTTGCTTGTTGGTCTGGAAGGCATGGTTTTGTAATGAGCCTCTCCTCCCGATGCCCTTTTGTATTTATTTTCCACGGCAAGCTGTGTCTCACCATCTCTGAGGACCACGGCCGCATCCCTGTGCTCTGGGCCAAATGCAAGATGGTGGGGGCGGGGGGTGCGAGGTGTGAGAGCCAGTGAGGCAGGAGAAGCTGGGCTAATGGGGCCTCTTCCTACAGTGCCCCATAGGACTTGAAAACTGTTCGCAAAGGAGTTTGAATTTCCTTCTTCCACAAGCATGTGACTTCACAAAGGAAGAGGAAGAATAGCTCCCATTCTCTGAGCACTTTGCAGGTGCCAGGCACCATGTGAACTGCTTTCTCTACATTCCATTACTTCTATCATTTAACATTTAATCTCCTCCCTCCTTCAGGACAGCAGGAAAGTTTAGCTCAGGTGCATTGGTAAGGTCCAAGAAAACCATGTCTCTCCCTTCTCATCAAAAAAGCAAACGATGAAACAATAGTAGAGCTGATGTGGTAGGAACTTCCCTGTTCTCCCCTAAGCAGAGCCAAACCTCACCAGGCCTTTGCTCACCTGGCATCAAGCTGCCCTGCTTCACCCCAACCGTGGCCAGCATGGGAAGGCAGTCTTGAGCACCGAAGACTTAGGGGATCAGAGATTGTCTCTGAACCAAACGTCGATAACCATCTCATTTCTGCAGTCACTTTTGGGAGGTGAGAGGGGGCAAATATGGCCACAATGCTCAGTTGACCCTTCAACTCTGAACTGGTATCGAAATGCTTTCAAAAGAAATATCAAAATGTCAGTCCTCAGTGGACCAAGGTAACCGTAGCAGTAATCGTGATGATAGTGTAAATTCATGCCACAGGGTCTTTAAAGCATTTCTTGTCATGAATTCACTAGCTATGGATTTACTTCATTATTTTACCTCTGGTGAGATCTTTAAACATTATCCTTAGACATTTTGGATTCCTCCAGGCCAGCCTCCTGGACATGAGGGAAAGTCTCATTTGGGTGAGTCCACAAATCAAGGCAATAAAACATTTGTGGAACAACTGATTGAATTTATGGTGGGATTTTTAAGACAAGTATAAATGAGGGCCCTGGTTAATCACCAGTTTCAGGTTCAGATGGGAAGAAACTAGGACTAAATCATCCAGGAAATACATTTGGAAGAGTTTAGCATGATCCAGAGTAGAAGATTTATAATTCATTGTGCTGTAAAGGGAGAGAAATAATATTGTGATAGAGCCCAAAGCAAGAGAGGAAATAATAAAATAAATTAAATATATGGTGTAAAATTGAATTTGAGACCTCGAATACTAAAAGTGAGGAATTAGGAGAAGCAAAGGAGATCAGATGAATAAAATGCTGTGTAACCCAAGCCCTACCTTTGCCATTTTTCTTTAGAATTCTGAAATGGTACAAAATATTTCTATTTACCAATGGTCCATGCCTAATTGTTTCTGGAGAGGAAAACAAACCAAGAAATTTATGTGAGAGAGAGAGAGAGAGAGATGCATATGGACTTGAACTTGTACAATGTACAACGAACCGTTAGGAGGAGCTCTGTTATTTGGCGTAATAGCAGAGCAGTTCACAGATGAGTTAAGGCAGGATCATGAAAAGGCAAGAGGAGGGGCTTTGGGTCAGGGGGACCCACCCCATCCACTAAGCGAAGTCCTAGGAAGACTTAAGTTTGAGCTAGGGACTGCATCTTTCAAAACTCCGCTTTCTATCGCAAAGTGAAGATAAAAGCCATTTTGCTGGGTTTTCTAGCTATGTGAAAAATGGGACATGTGGGGCAGCTGCACACAGTAGGCACCCCAAATCTGGGGTCACAGCAGCCTGTGACCCGTAACTCCACATTCTACTCTCTCCTCTCTGGCCAGCTCCTCTACCTCCAGCACCAATATGGCAACCCCCCTCCCACACCTGGGCGGAGGCTGGGCGCTTTGCAAAGCGGACTCAGCCCCTGCCACCCACATACTCACATATAAAAACCAAGGAGGAATGGAGAACCCATGGCAAACGAGGGCAATCAGCAGAAGCTCTGAGTAAAAGTGCTGGGGAATTTGCATCTGGTGTGAGGAAGGCAACAGAACCTTGCTTCCTTTCCCATGGTCACTCCTCATCATTCAAACCTGGTCCCCATTTTTGCCGAGAACATTCACAGACTCTTAGAATGGGAGGGTGAGGAGGTTGAGAAGCAGCATAGATATTCCTACCAAGTAAACATGCTAATAAAGCAGGCCCAGTAGAAGCCGGGAGCTGACAGCAGACCTACAATGTCAAGTCTCCTCCCCTCCTCCAGGAAGCCTTCCGAGACTCTCCAAGTTCACACTATTTCCCTCCACCCATGATTCCTTTAACTACCACCACAAAATCTGTTGCTTAAGTATGTGGTTTCCCGCCTAAATGTTTCATACGGACAGATCTTTCATGTGACCAAGAGCCAGGTAGTTTTCTTGTATGATGGGTATTTTTTTTATGATGGGCATATCTAAGGTGTTTATTGGATTTGCTAACAATTGGTCGCCAAGGAAAGAGATGGCGTCCAGCCTGTGATAAGTGATAAGTGATAAGATACAAGTGCTCTACCTGCTATGGAATTTGCTGGAACTCATCACTAGCACTCAAAATATTATACACACCTCCTGACACACACACCTAGCCAAAAAGGAGCTGTGAGGGTCCTAGCTGGAGATGACCTCAATCATTACATTATTTATGTTCACTCAAAGGCTAAAGGCCTGAAAGGTTTTCTTTCTCCAATACTTTTTCTCATCTTTGGGGACTTCAATATCATAAAAATGTTTTGAGGATGATCTGGTAGAGATTTCAGCACAGCTGTTTCCACAAGGAGAAAAACCCAGGTTGGATTTATGTTAAATGCTAACACCACTGGGTTTTCCAACTATACAGATGAAATTGCAGTAAAAGTGTATACATATGCGACCTTTACTGTAGCCATCGGAGAGATCCGTGTTCTTCCGTGAAATCACTAATGTTCTTAAGATACAGATGGTTTCCCTTTCCAGAGACTTTGGTCCCTGGGTCCATGCAACTGTGTATACTTTCATTTTGATGCCACCATTTCTCAGGCAAAGGTTTTAATTGCCCCCTAAAAACTTTAGAGAGAATGTTCTGTCAGGATGCCTCGGGAGACATCTAAGAACCTCCCCAGGGGGCTGAGTGGTTCAGGCAGTGCCAGATGTGGAGCAGCCAGATGGGAGTTCTAGGAGGGAACCATCTGGGAGGGAACCCACTTTCCCACTGGGGGACAGAGGGGGAGAGGGAGCCAGAGAGGTGCAGGGGGGAGGAGGAGTGGGAGGGAGGGGGAGAGAGAGGGTCTACCCAGCCTTCGTGAAGGGGAGGGGGTCCTGGCCGGCCAAGCCCTTGCTAACAGGTCATCTCCCCTGCAGACCCCACGCTGTGGACTCAGGAGCACGTACGGCAGTGGCTGGAGTGGGCGATAAAGGAGTATGGCTTGATGGAGATCGACACGTCCTTTTTCCAAAACATGGATGGCAAGGAACTGTGTAAAATGAGCAAGGAGGACTTCCTCCGAGCCACCTCCCTCTACAACACCGAAGTGCTGCTGTCACATCTCAGTTATCTCAGGGAAAGTAAGTGTCCTGTCTGTGTGTGGGCCAGGGAGCCCCCGCGCGCGTGGAACCCAAGTCCCCAGGGCTGGGAGAAGACTCTGCAAGGCCCGCCCCAAATGAAGACTGATTTCCCATGCAGCCAATCCAGGAAGAGGA